AATAGTGTGACTCCAGCAGGAAGGGAGAAGGTGGTCAGGACTGGAAGGTGGTCAGCACAGTAGATCTAAGTGAGAAGTAAGCAGACTGGATGCATCCAGTTAGGTGGAGGGTCTGGGCAGCCTTACTGGAGAGGAGATGGGAGAAAACACTGGGGGAAAGCTGCAGTCCAGGGTAGGTGAGAAGCAGCAAGGAAGACGGTGGCTGCAGCAGAGTAGGAGACGGGGGAGGTATGTGGAATTGTGCACATATTACATCCCTGCCCCACCCCGTTACCTTGAGGAAACAGAAGCTGCTGGAGGGCTTTGAGCAGGGAACCAGCATGATCAATTTAACTTTTTTTTTTTTTTAATCATTTGAAGGGTGGAACTGCTCAGCAGATAAAGGACTCGCCATGTAAGCACAGGGGCCGATTTGGATCCCCAGCACCTGTGTAAAGGGCTGGACACACAGGGGTGTGAGCATGACATCCCACAGCTGGGAGGGAAGGAGGACCTTAGGACAGAGCTGGGGGAAAGAAAGAGCTGGTGCTGTGGGAACTCCTTCTCTTCCTTCAGCCAATAGCCTTACAGACCCAAGTGGGCTGGTATCTTAAAGGCTATTGGCTGAAGAAGAGGAAGGAGTTCCCACAGCAGGAGCCTAGGACACAAACAAGGTCAGAGACCTACAAGTATTTGGGACGTGATTCTGTGGCTCACGCACGGGTCAGATTCCTGCCTGGTGAGGAATATGGATACTGGATGGTGGTGAAGGAAATGGCTGTGATGCTGGCAACATGAGTGCCTACTAAGCAGAGAAGGAGGCAGACGCCAGGGACAACCCAAGTCGCTGGCAAATGGTCACCCTATAGCTAAGGAAAAAGAGAGGGAGGGTGTGGGGCTGCCTTGGGCTGTGTGCAGCACCTGTAAGTAAAGAATAGAACAGCTCTGGCTTGTGCTTGCCAAGGACGCCCCCCTCCACCCCCTCTGCTGTGTGGAGATACCCCTTTGGCAGGTCCTGCCCTTAGACGAGGATAGGCTGGGCTACCGCAGTCACAAGGAAACAGAGACAGACAGTTGGTGACGGGTATAGTGCAGGGTGCAATAGAGAGGAATCTACAGGTATCGGTACCCACTGCACTTGAAAGTGAGTAGGATACATTGTGAGGGGAGGGCTTTGTAAGTCACTCTGCTGGTCAGAAGTGGATGGATGGTATCACACAGGACGTTGTCACTGCCCAGTGTGTAGGAAAAGCATCCGTGGCAGCCGTGCATAACAGCCCAAAAGCAAGAGTGGGGAATCCCATCACAAGCAGAGCACAGCCAGAGGGTAGAGTGGTCACATAGCTCGTACAAGGACATACATTAGACAGAGAAAGTTAGAGCAGGGCTGTGGTACTGGGAACCTATGGAAAGGTAGAGGCTACAGCACACAGGGAGGTAGAGGGCAACGCACAGTAGCCTCCTTGTTAAGAGAAAGAAAAAAAGAACTTCTAAAGTTTGCCCAGCTGGACTTTGTGACTACAAGAAATCAGAGGACAATGTTCAGGATGGGAGAGTAAGCCCACTGGAGCCAAGGAGGAGGGTACCCTAGTGCTGAGAATAGCCCTGGCTCCAAGACTCCCACAGACCCCTTGAGTCTTTTATAGTTTTAGTGTGTACTATGTTACTATAGCAAAACAACTGAGGTTAATTACCTTATAAAGAAAAGAAGCTTATTTGCATCACAGTTCTGGTAGCTGGGAAACCCAAACAACATCAGCATCAGTATATGGGAAGATCACATGGAAGCATCACAGCATGGAAGAGAAGCAAGAAGGGGAATGACTAGGTACAAGAAGAACAGGTGTCTGAGGTGGCCTTGCCTTATACCTTGCTGTCGTGAGAGCTAGTCCAGCCTCACAAGACCTGGCCCACTCCTACAAGACAGCACTAATCCATCCGTGAGAGTGGAGCCACCACAACCCACCTGCCTCCCATGAGGCCCCACCTGTTACACATTGCCCCTTCTCAATACGCACTGAGGATCAAGTTTCCAGGGCACCTGTGACAGAGCTGATGCTCTGAGGGATAAGAAGACAAAGCAGTTGGTGAGCCCAACAGCTGTCTCGGGTGTCTCGGGAGGAGGGTGGCAATGGCAAAGAAGGATTTGTCCACTGATGCCTCTGCAGCATCGTCCCTGACGAGTGCCCATTTTCAGGGGTCTTTAGACAGTTCTCCATCCCACACATAATGTGCAACAGGGAAGGGCGTGCCTACACCCCTTCAGACCCCAGAGATCCTTGCAAGGTGTGTGAGCTGCAGAGAAAGTATGGCGAGGAGGGATATTACAACAAGAGGGAGAAGTGGAGGTGGCGGCTGGAGCACCATTCCAGTAGGGAGAGGCGTGGTCCTCGCTGGCCTCTGTGGTCCTCATCTAGGACCATAATAGGAAAAATCTCCCAAGACCTGCTGCCCCTGGAATCTACAACCTGCAGCACAGGTGCCTGAATTTTTTAAGTACACAGTGGTCAGAGAGTAAGAACCGGTTGTGGTGGAGGATGAGGGACCACCCATCTCCCTCGAACTTTCAGTTTACCCACTCCTGAGTGCCTGCCTGCATCGCTTCCCCAGGGGCTTCCATAGCTCATCCACCGTTGTAGTCCATCCGTAAAGTAGGCAGAAAGTGGGGCAAATGAATAGCTGGAGAAAGCAGCTGGAGACTGATGGGAATGAGTGGCAGGTACCCACATCCCTCCCCATTAGTGGGGAACCCCCCCCAGAGCCCCTTTGGAGTTAAGCCTCCATTCCCCACATTAGCAACTGACTTACTAGCATCCCCTCCCCCTGTGTTAGCACCTACCCAAGGTGTTTGCTCCCAGGCTAAAGACTTGCACTTGAACCCTGTCCCAGAGCTTGCCTCTGGAGGAACTCAAAGTCAGACCTCCAGGGAGGCAGAGGGCAACTGCCAGGGCTGGAAGGCTGCCTTTGAATCCCAGCCCCTTCGTGTGTGAGGAATTCCGTTCCAGGAAGACTCTGGACAAGTTGGTTGTGCATAAATTAAAGCCCCAATGTTTGCAGTACAGACTGGGGCGGTACTAAAACATGTCATGTTGTCCACACATCTGAAAAAAAGCCAGGCTGGCAACAACCGCTGGAAAGCATAGCCCACTGATGTATCATCCACGGCTAAATAGGGAAGACTGTAGTCTGAGTCAGAATGTTATTGCCAGCCTGACTTTGCAGCCGTTGAGGGATCCTGTTCTTGAGGGCCATCTTCCTGCAGGGTAAGGTCCTTCTGGCATTTTCTAGGGACTGCCTGACCCCTCTCCCAGGGAAAATCAACCTTACTAAACCCCAGCACCCACAAACCCACAGTATTCAGTTACTGTTTCTGACCGCTCTCTAGATCTAGTTGGTAGGTTCCGCTCCCCAGGCTGTGGGACCCACTCTGAAAAGCCTGAGGAAAATACTGGAGGAGTGAGCAGATACCAGGGATGGGTGGGTGGGTGGGTGGATGGGTGGGAGGGAGGGCTGGCCGGTTGATTTGCTTGCACACCTAGGGATCTAACTCAGGGGCTCTCCAGTGTTGCCTGAGTTCTCTAGCACTTACCTATATTCCTAGCCCAACACGTTTAAGTTAAAATTCTGCTAAGCACTGAGCCCTGAAATCTATGAATCGGCATGAGATCCCATCCAGAGGAGCATTATTGTCTCCAGTTCACAGAAAAAGAAAGGGAGACCTTCAGTGGCTGGTCAAGGAAGCTGCTGAGGACCACATGAGCAAGATGTGAGAGGCTGGGCTGGGCTGTGTGATGGATGCTGCCCTCCCTCCTTCCACCTCCCTCACCGTTTCTCCATGTGGTTAGTAGATGACCTGCAAAGCCGTTAGCGAGGGGGGCAGAGTGCCTCTACCCCTGGAGAGGGGACACACTATCCTTATTTGGAGGAATCAAAGGCAGAGAAAAAAATGTAATTTGTCAAGAAACGCCACTCCTAACCTTCTGTGTCTGGAATGAAGCACCTGGCCCCAACTGCTGCTGAAGAGGCTGGGGAGACAGTAGAGCCTCTGGACTGCACTTTAGGTTCGGTCCCCTTTCCCTGAGAGTGGCTTCCTTAGGATCCTAGGGGACACGGGGTCTTAGCACCCATCCTACCTGCCTGGTGTTCTGTTCCCTTACCCCAAACCATTGGAGAAGCATTTCCTCACCACTAGCCCCGCAACAGCCCCACAACCCCGCAATTTTACAGCCATGGGGAGTGCACACTTGAAGCTTAATTCTGAGCTCTCTCTCACACACACTCAAAATACCCATGGCTCCCAACTACCCACAGAATGAAAGCTGAGCCTTCATCCAAGGCCCTCCATTTTGGAGCCCCGGTGAGGTGTCCTGAGTTCATTCTGCAGCCGCTGACTCCATGCTTGTCCGATCTTGGTTGAGTCTGTGATGGTTAGGGGTGGCCTCCCTGAGCCTGCACTCAGCCCTGTGCTCCAATCACACTGTCACCTAGAGCGAGCACCACGGTGCGTGACTCCTCCACAGTATCCAGCACTGGGCAAACTTCGCTCGCCCCTTAATTCTGGGCTTCTTTCTCTTTGTGCTTAGGCAGTAGGGAACACAGACAGAGTGCCATAAAACACCAATGGCAAATGAACTCATTTTGTATATATAAAAAAAAAAGTCAAAATATTTTTACATAAAACTTGTAGCCGAATTATGCTTCCACATCAGCGCCTTAAAGAACAAGAGAGTGTTCTCCACATAGATCCCAGTAACTGGGTTCCATAGGGAAGACTGCTGATGGAGAAACTGCAGCCGCGCGTGGTTTGGTCTCACTCTCTCGTCAGGGTTTGTTGCCTGTGCTCAAAACAGCTATCAGGTCGGACTCAGAAGACAGGAAGATGATTCTTTTTTTTCGCCCCCTTTTTCACAGAGAAAGACCCCCTTGAGAGCTCCTGCCTGTGACTCAGCTTCAGTGGTAGGCAGCTGTCAACCTCCCAGCTACCGACATCCGTTAACTACCCGGGTCTCTGTCCCCTGCAGGTTCTCTGTTCCCGCAGCTGAAACCATCAGAGGGCGTCTTCAAGGTCATCTTCTGGCTGGGCTACTTCAACAGCTGTGTGAACCCGCTCATCTACCCCTGCTCTAGTCGCGAGTTCAAGCGCGCCTTCCTCCGCCTCTTGCGCTGCCAGTGTCGCCGCCGCCGCCGCCTCTGGCGCGTCTACGGCCACCACTGGCGAGCCTCGACAGGCGAACAGCGTCCCGACTATGTCCCCAGCCCGCGAGTCGCGCCCCCGGGAGCTCCCCTGGCCCTCACTGCACACTCAGGCCCTGGCTCCACAGACACGTCCGAGGCTCAGGCTCAGGTCTCCGGGCGTCGAAAGCCAGCCTCCGCCCTCCGGGAATGGAAGCTTCTCGGGCCGCTGCAGAGACCCACGACCCAGCTGCGCGCGAAGGTGTCCAGCCTGTCCCACAAGATCCGCTCTGGAGGCACACGTCGCGCGGAGGTTCCGTGCGCCCTGCGCTCGGAGGTGGAGGCAGTGTCTCTAAGCGTTCCCCAAGATGGGGCAGAGGCTGTCATCTGCCCTGCCTATGAGCCAGTCAACTACAGCAATCTCCGGGAAACTGACATTTGAGGATCGAGACCCAGGCTGGGAGAAGTGCTGGAGCCGGGAGTGAGGCGCGTTGAGGGATGCTGCCTTTGGATCCAGGACCTGGGACCGGATCACTTCGTAGGTGGTGGGTTATGGCGCCCCCTGCTGGACATAGGTGCCCAGATCGCTACTGGAAGTGAGACTGCGGGATTCACTCTTCTCATCCAGATTGAAAAACTGCTTAGTCAGCTGCTCCTGAAGTCTAGGCAGAAGACTTTAGGTGGCCACTCGCCTTGGGGAGGAAGAGGTACAGATTCGTACTCTGCTGCTCCCAGGAAGAAGATCAGTGGCCACCCGGCGGAAGTCAGTGGACCTACCGTAGGACCTGCCATACTGCGAGCTTTGGTGGCATATTGGATGCCTGCCGTACAAATCTGTTGTTTGTCCCCCTAGGCCCAGGGCCTCCTCCCCATGTTCCTAACCTGTATGCACCCTTCACCTGGCTGAGCCCTCACCATTTCCCCCAGGGGCCTTACTGTTTACACTCTGTACATAGTTCATTGTGCCCGTCTGTGCCGATCACTTCTCACTGGGATTCCAGGCTGCCGACAGGGGAGAGCCAGCCTTATTTATCATTTTGAAACCTATTTATTGGTAAGAGTACTTATATTTTGTTCAGACTGTGCAAACTGTCCATCTTTGGCCTGTGATTCATATAGAGCCTCCCTCTTCTGAAACTCTTAGACAACCACAGGATAGTCTACGCTCACCTTGCTCGTTTTATCATAGCTGCCTCTCGGATAGTTGCTGCCCTTTGGGGTTTGGGGGAAGGGTAGAGGTCAGAAACATATTTTGGGAGTTGGTTCTCTCCTTCATCCTCGGGGGTCACTATCCTTTGGTCATTGTCCTTTGGATCTTTTAGCAAGGCTAAAGGACTTTGGAGCTTTGTTGGCTTTTAAAAGTCACAGAAGCACAAACTTTCTTCTTGTCAGCCTCCCTAAATATATCTGTGATGCTCCAAGGGCCTCGGGAAACATACTGGCTACCAGTGTAACTGGTAAGAGAATGCATAAAATGATGTACACCCAAGCAGACAGATCTGTGGATGTGGAGAAAACCCACAGCTAGGAGTCATACTCCTTAGCTCTGAATAAGGCATACATCCCACGATCATAAGCAATTCAGTCTCTCAAAAGAAAATATCAACCACATTTATCCAGCCAGAGTGGGTGTGATAACTGTGACCAATGGGGCCCTTAGAGGACAGCTATCTAAACAAAGCCCCAAACTGGAAGAGCCGGTTACTGGTGCCAATATGTACAGGAAGGTGGCTGTCCTCGCTAAGGGGGACAGCCTGCCTGAAGCATCACCACAGTGTTAAGCCTTCCGTGGTACTCTGACAAGGTTAGAAGGGCTTAGAAGGAAGTGGTTTACAATGTGAGCTGGGGTCTGGGTTTTGAGAACCTGCCTCCCCTAAGCACCCAGATATACAGGAGCAGTTATAGCAGGTACTGGGAATACGCTACGTACTCAAAATAAAATGCTCCCTTTGTACCTACTGACCTCCTTGAGGCTTAGAGGACAGGTTTTGCTATCTTCTCACAGAGGTGGGATCCATGGGTCAAGTCAGAAAGAGTGAGTAGGCAGCCCCCAGTCTCAAGTACTTGAGCATCAACCTCTTGCGTAGGGGTGAGCCAGGTTTGCTTCAAAAACTAGCTTAGGTTTTGGGGGACCCAATCGGTGAGAGTGGGGATAGGACTGAACCCACTCAGTGTTTGCACCAAGCATGGTAACCAGATTATGACCAGACCCCTGGGCACACTGCTGCTCCCTACAGCAGGAACCGAGTGTGAATGGCTGTGGAAGGTTGCAGAGCCCAGAGACATCTCTTCATCAGAGGCCTCCAGGCATCTTGTTCTCAAAGCCAGTACAGCACGGCCGGTGACCTCACTCCTGGGACATGACAGGATCATAGCCGAGAGGGATGGATGGAATAATGATGGGCTGGGGAAGGGATGGGGGCAGATAGAAGTGATGTCAGGAAAACCTGGGAGAATGCACAGTTCCTTGGGTCCTTGGGTGCTTCAGTCCATCCTACACATCTGACTATAAACGGCCTCTGAAATGCGTGCAAGATATGAGGCACTTGTCCTCTGTGACCTTAGAGGATAAGGCCTGAAGGCATCTAAGGTGGGGAAGGGATGATCCTAGGAGAGGTGACAAAGACCAAAGCAAGCTTTAAAGAACACAGATGTTTGTCCAGGTCCTCACGCCCATCCTTAGCCTCCTTCCTGCTTCCTACCCCGGGGTCCTAGCTGCCATCTAACCACTTACCTCTCCTTACTTCCTACTCATGCTCAGCCCATGTTAACAGCATCCGCTCTGGAGCCCCGCTTCCCCGATGTGCAGTCTGCTGGAACTAACTCCTGTTTGTTCCTCCTTCCTCCAGAGACTCCCCCTCCGCCCTTAAACATTCCCCAGGGTTGTATTCCTCTTCTCAGCTCTCCACATAATCTCATCCACTCCACATCTCAATGACCACTTACATAGAAATGGCCCCCAGGGACTGTCTTGAGCTTCAGATGTGTGGTCAACCTCCCAAGCACCCCACAAGGCCATTTGCTTCCTGCAGATCCCCTGAGCATGCCATGCCGCATCCACTCTCCAACTTCTCGGCTTTGCATCTTTCCAAGATCTCCTTCACAGATTCCCAGCTCTGAGCATCCTACAGCCTCCCAGGTCACTCACACCCAGCCCCTGTCCAGTGCACTGAGAGTCCTTATGTCCCCAAGAGCAGATTGCCCTGCACATCTATGGTGACACATGTTCCATCTGCTGTCCAGCTGACTAGCCCCTCCCCCTTCAGGACCCTATCATCAACCAGTCCCTGGGTTCCTCCTGTCCAGTTGCTGACAGGTCATGGGGAAGTGTCTGAGACCTTCATCAGCCTCCCTTGTATCACAGTTTCAACTCTTCAGAGCCCTCGTGACCTTGATTCTATTCCCATCCTTTTATATCCCCAGGGGACTGGCTACATGGTCACCGGCTGTCCACTCGGAAGGAATTTTTGTAGTGCTCCCCACCCCTCCTTGCTTCTTGCGGCTCCCGAGAAGCACAAATCCAGATGCTCAAAAAGGCTAAATCAGTTCTCGGCCTCGCTGCTTGGAATAGTTCACAGAGAGCCACAGGGGCGCAGGTGGCACTGGGAGGGGGTAGGAGGCGCTGGGTGCTGTTCTCCAGTAGTCTGGGCTTCCTGTCTTCCCTCCCCCCATCCAGACCTGCACCCCAAGAGCAAAGAAACTAAGAGAATGCTGACCAGAGCAGAGACCTCCATTCTAAAGTGACTGAGCTGCAGGACCCACAGGAAAACTGCAGGGTGCATGTGAGATGCAGTGAAATGGCTGCAGTGGCAGAATGCCTGCCTCTCCTGCACAAGGCCCTAGCTCCAATCCCCGACATCAGGGGGTAGCGTGTATCATTAGGGAGTCCAGGAAGCGGAGCCAGGCAAACTGGGCTTTCAAAGAAAGGGGCCGGAAGTAAACACACTGGAAGCATTGCCAGCACTTGGGCTGCCCTTTGCACAACTTTCTTTCGCCATGAAATGGCCCCACCGGGGTGCTTATATTCACTCCTTTCTACCCTGCCAGGATCCAGAGAAAGAGTCCTAGTTCTTTTTCTGTTCTTTTCATAGCATACCTCTACCAAATGAATTTGGGGGGGGGGGGGTTCTGTATATGTGTGTGGTGTGTATGTGTGTGGTATGTGTAGTGTGTGGTGTATGTGGTATGTGTAGAGTGTGTGGTGTGTGTGGTGTGTATATGTGTGTGGTATGTGTAATGTGTGTGTGTGGTGTGGTGTTTATGTGTGTAGTGTGTGTGATGTGTGTGGTGTGTATATGTGTGTGGTATGTGTAATGTGTGTGTGTGTGGTGTGGTGTTTATGTGTGTAGTGTGTGTGATGTGTGTGGTATGTGTAGAGTGTGTGTGTGGTGTGTGTGTGATGTCTGTGTGGTGTGTATATTTGTGTGATGTGTGTATGGTGTGTATATATGTGTGTGCTGTGTGTGGTGTGTATATGTGTGCTGTGTGTGTGGTGTGTGTGTGGTGTGTATATGTGTGTGGTATGTGTAATGTGTGTGTGGTGTGGTGTGTGTAGAGTGTGTGGTATGTGTGTGTGTGGTATGTGTAGAGTGTGTGTGGTGTGTGTGTGATGTCTGTGTGGTGTGTATATTTGTGTGATGTGTGTATGGTGTGTATACATGTGTGTGCTGTGTGTGCTGTGTGTGGTGTGTGTGTGTGTGTGTTCAGAGGATAACGTTACAGAGTTAGTTCTCTCCTTCCGTCTCTCACATGGGCTTCAGGAATCAAACTCAGGTCCCGAGGCTCGTGCAGCACATTTTCCCACGGAACCATTGTGATATCCATTAGTTCCTGCGAATGGATCAGATCCGTCCTTCTCATCTTTTGAGCCAAGCCACAGAGATCATGGGTCACTGGCCAGCTCACAGATTGGCTAATTTGGGGTCAAATCTAACAGCAGGTGAGGCAGATGGGAGAAGAACGGTCACAGAGAACAAATACCATCTGCGCCCCAGCGTGGGAGAAGGACGGTGCTCAGAAAGTAGGAGGAGAGGGCAGATAATATTGATAATATTGACATCTCTTAGCACACTGGATCACCTAAGGAGATGGTAAGCATGTAAGACACTGGTCTCTACCTGAGTAATACAAGGCATTATTTTTCAAGTGTAGACGATGTTTCCTGACCTGATCGCCCAGTCCCAGAGAGTGAATATGAATTATAAATGCTCAGCCGATGGCTCAGGCTTATTACTAGCTAACTCTTACACTTAACTCATATTTCTATTTATGCTTTGCCATGTGGCTCATGGCTTGCTACCTCATTTTTTACACATCTTGCTTGCTCGGTGGCTGGCTGGCATCTCCTCTGATTCTGCACTTCTTCCCATCATTCCAGTTTGGTTGTCCCTCTTATAATTTCTGCCTGGCTACAAGACAATCAGTGTTTCAGTAAACCAATTTGAGTGACAAATCTTTACAGTGTACCGCAGATAGAGGGTAAATGGGTTGCTAGAACCCTCAAGTTTGTACTGTCTACTTCACGGTCTTCGCTGAAGGCTTTCCTCTTCACTGCCCAGTGACTGGCGGCATCTTGTTCAAGGTTGAGAACAAGAGGCTCTGAACTGCAGCTGCAGCAAGCTCCTGCCTCCAGGCTTCCAGCATTAACTGGCCCAGAACCACACCTCCCCTGAGATCTCACACGTGCCCTTAGTGACCAGACTCTTGCATGAAAAACTGCAAAAGTATGTGGGATGAGTTTAGGAAGGGAGCCCCAAAATTCTGCCAGCCAAATTCAGCCTTCAACCTTATTTAGTACTGCTATCTTAGTAGGGGTTTCTATTGCCAAGAAATCATGACCCCAGACCCCAGCAACTCTTAGAAAGGAAAGCATTTAACAGGGGCTGGCTTACAATTCAGAGGTTTAGTCCATTATCATCACGGCAAGAACCATGGTAGCACACAGGTAGACCTGGTGCTGGAGAGGTAGCTGAGAGTTCTACATCTGGCTAGAGCTTCTGAAACCTCAAGGCCCATTCCTAGTGACACACTTCCTCCAAAAAGGCCACACTCCAGCAAGGCCACACCTCCTAATAGTGCTACTCCCTATGAACCTATGGGGGTCACTTTCCACCACACACCCACAAACTAAAAAAGGGGGAAGTCAAAATAACATTTTATGGAAATGTGTGAACATTACGATCTAATATCTTCAATTTTGCCTCTCGATTCACAAAACCTAAATTTGTTCCCTTGACCTTTACAGGAAAAGCCTACTGATTTAGCCTGAGGAGAACAGAAGGGAATCGTTGATTGCTTCCTGGTAGAACGACCTGGACCAGAACAGGGTCTGGCAAGCAGGTCTGGTGACCTGGGCTGTCACAGTTCACCACGCTCACTGGGAAGTGACATTTGTAAGCTCCAATCTTTGGAGACTATCTCACAGCCCAGTGTCCTAATGACTGTCAATGAACCTGATAGGAAGCCTAAACGTTGCCTGAAAG